GTTACCTCAGCCCCCCGGTTACCTCAGGCCCAAGTTACTTCAGCCCCACGTTACCTCAGGCACCGCGGAGTCTGGGCGCACCAGGCAGCGTCCTGGCTCCCAAGCCCTCGTGGTGTATATGCATCCGAGGAGCCGGGTCTGCATTTAGGGCGAAGCGTAGAGCAAAGCGTGGGGTGCACCGGACGAGCTGGCAGGGGGCGGGGTCAGCCAACGAGCTCAGCTTTCACGCCCGGACGCCGGGTCTGGGTGCCGCCTCCGCACGTCCCGCCCAGTCCGTAGTTCGCTCCTCCAGAGCAGGGGGCGGGGTTGGTAACTTGGGCCTCACTATCCCAGGTGGGAGGGGTTGGATGAGGGTTTATTGTGTGCACCTGCTAGCTTGGTGGGTTCCAGAACGCGCGCGACGCTTGGGGTCTGTGGTCCGCAGCGAACTGGGGGACGCGGTGCGGGATGTGGACAGAGTTGGGGATGGGGAAGCTCCTGGAGACGGGGGATGAGGAAGCTGGACGCGAGAAGCTCGGAATGGACTTGGACATCGCGTTAGAGATGCGTCCAGGCATATGGATGGCGTCGGGGATTGGGAGTGGAGTCTGTGATCCCAGCAGCCTATCCTGCTGCTGAGTTCCACGCCTGGCTCCTAGAGCCGGGCCCCAGTCGGTAATCCCTTTCTTCTGGTCGCCTTGCTCACCGCGGCCCTGCCTCTCACTCTTCACCCTGCAGGGACCGTCAGTGGCGACTATGGGCAGAGTGGGCTATTGGACCCTGCTGGTGCTGCCGGCCCTTCTGGTCTGGCGCGGTCCGGCGCCGAGCTCGGCGGCGGAGAAGGGTTCCCCCGCGCTGAATATTGCGGTGATGCTGGGTCACAGCCACGACGTGACGGAGCGAGAACTTCGAACCCTGTGGGGCCCCGAGCAGGCTGCGGGGCTGCCCCTGGACGTGAACGTGGTAGCTCTGCTGATGAACCGCACCGACCCCAAGAGCCTCATCACGCACGTGTGTGACCTCATGTCCGGGGCGCGCATCCACGGCCTCGTGTTTGGGGACGACACGGACCAGGAGGCCGTGGCTCAGATGCTGGATTTTATCTCCTCCCAGACTTTCGTCCCCATCTTGGGCATTCATGGGGGCGCATCTATGATCATGGCTGACAAGGTAAGGCCGGGAGGTGATGCCCTGCCAGGACCTGGGAAGCGACCAGCTGCCTGGCAGCTGCTTCAGGTTTTCGGACGTCCCTAGAATCTGTCTTGATGTGAAGTGCGGGTGCGGGTGGGTGTGGGGGTGGGAGGGTCGTGGCCACTGGCCCTGGTGAGAACCAGGTCTTGCTTCTTCAACCCAGAAATGGATATGCCTTTTGCCTTGTTTCTGAACATGGTGTACACAGGAGCACTTCAGTGTGGGTGTGTCAGGAAGAGCTCAGGAAACAGAAGTAGGCAGTGGGGTGGTGGCGGCGGTGGTGGCATGTTTGGAGATTTACAAGTGCCGCGGGGCACAGAGGTGGGCTCAAGAGCACTGGAGACGTATGGTTCCTATTCCCACAGTACCTGTTTTACCTGATTGTTTTGTGGGAAAAATGTCCATTTTTTCCCTCTTACTCTTATGGTAAGTGACTAAAACTATTTATAAAAATTATTAAATGTGGGTAGGTTCTGGAAGAAAATGCAAAGTTTTTAGGTAAAGCACAAAAGGGCAGAAAAAATGTCATGCTTCCTCAGACTCTGCAATGAGAGGAACAGAAGTGGGAGTTTGAGAAGCCCTGGGCTAGAGGAGTGGAGGAGAGACTGTTCCTCTAGGGTAGTGGGTGTGAGTGGAGAGAATTAACTACAAACCCAGAGCATGGAGGCCTGGCATTTTCCTTACATGTTCTCTGTCTGAAGGCTCTCAGATGGAGGAGCTGGCTCCTGAACGAAGACGGGTCTTGGTACTAAAGTTGGAGTCTCAGAACGCACCAAAGAGTCTCCAAAAATCTGTTGGCTTAGAATGAGAGGGAGAGTCTTTTTGTGGACAGTCTGGGAGCATCAGTTTGGCGAAGAAGGGAGAGATATTTGAAGATTTGAGTGAGATGTTATGATGGCCTGGTTTGGGAATTACACAGAACTGGAGGGAAGGAGGAAGGCTAGAATGGAGGAGTAAAGGGAAGAATGAGAAGAAAGGGAAGGATTGGAGTTGTGTGTGTACTGTCCTCTTTCTAAGCCCTGAGAAAGGGCTGGAAGTTCAGAAGGAGAGGAAAGGGTAAGTGTACCTGAATGCCATGGTCTCTAACCCTGAGATCTTCTTGGAGAGTGTTCCTTAGATGGCAGGAGATATTCTAGTGGAGTGAACAGACATTCATTGTAGCACTTTCCTTTTGATGCTCTCAAAGCGCGTTTATATTCATCACATCAGCTTTTGCCTCTGTTTCAGCAATTCCCAGCAGCTCCTTTGGGAACTGTATTAATTCTTTCAGGTCTCCTGGGCTTCGGCACATTCAGCTGAAGCACACAATTGATGCAGTATCTTATTAAACATTCATTTTAAATGGTTTGCAGCCTAGCAGAATTTCTGTGTGTGGCTGAGCATTTTCCCAGCCACTTCTCAGTTCTGGAGGGCTCCTTTCTGGGAAGAAGAGTGTAGGCACTAGCCATGCTCCGCCACCATTGACAATTTCAGAAGTAGAGACGACCTTAGGGTTTCCTGGAGCATCCTGTAACTTTCAGATGAAGTGACTGAGGCATAGGGGAGTTAAGGGACTTTGCCAAGACCACACAGTAGGTGATGGAGCTAGGTAGCTGAGTTTCTGGTCCCAAGCTGTGATCTTCCACTAAATCAAGCCTATACTTTAATGATGTCATACATCTTCAGGAGGGAAAAGGAATCAGTTTCATTTTGTGGGAGGGGCTGAACATGGAGAGCTGTGATAAATCACAGCCTAGAGGGCTTTTCTACAGGAGGGGCCAGTCTTCTAATGAAGTCATTGAGGGAGAACAGCCAGTTTCCAGCCAGGCTTTGGAGTGTGATTTGGGGATTTGAATATTGCCACAGATCTCTTCTTCCAAGGAGCGATAGACAAGAAACAGTAACCATACTGAAAGTGAAATTTCTGGATCCATGAGTGTTTGGCACAACCCAATGGAGAAATCTGGGAAAAGCTGAATTGGAAAAGGTGGTGTGAGACTGGGAGGTTCTGGGCAGGCTTCGGCTCTTTCTTCTAAGTCTCAGCTGTTAGGTGTGTGGCTTAGGCTCTCATGTGACTCATTCATCCAACTGTAGGCAGAGAGAAGCAGGAAGAGTGTAGGGTCATGGATGGGAACCCCCTTGATAGGCAGTGTCCCCGCCTGCTAGTGAATCTTGACCCAGTGAATGGCAGGCTCTGACTAACTAGATCAGCACTGTTCCTTCCTTGACTGGGGCATTAGAAACAAAGTTTTGAGAAGTCCAGGGAGTACAGGTGGAAACATTCTTCTCTTTGGAATGAAACCGCCTTATGGGATATTGACTAAAATGTGACCTCACTTAAGAGTAGGAAGAGAAAAGGATTCAGGAAAGGGCAAGAGGAAGATGAGAAAAGATGTTTCCAGAGAAATCAAGAATAGAGATTTCAGAGGGGTTGGAGAGAAGAAAAAGGAAAGGGTCCATTGTTTCAAAAATGGGGGAGGGGATTCGATACTCCCAATTGTTGTTGGGACTTTCGGAGTTGGTTTTGGAGAGACGGCCCCTGGTTTGTGATTCTGGTGAAAGTATAGGGAGATAAGGCAAGGTGGCAGGAAATCAAATAGTTCAGTGGAGGTAACATTGGGGCATATGTCTGGTTCCCATGTGGAATGGTGATATTGAAAGGAATTGACTGGTATCGAGAGGAGTTAGTTTAAAAGATCGTATTTTGAGAAACTCGGATGTGTTTAGAAAAGAGATTATCTGAGATGTGAACAGCCCCTCCTTCCATTAGTAACATATCTAGATGGCTTGTGCTTCTGCCACCTGTTTCATTTAGAGCTTTACCTTGAGTTTATTTGGCTCCAAAGAAACAGTCAGGGTGCACTGCTTAAAACTCTGCCTTGCCTGGGTGTGCCAATGGTATTATGACTGCAGCCTCAACCTTCCTAGATTGATGAGGGCTCTGCCTCCTGATAAAATGATGTTGATTTGGTAAAGCCACCCAGAACACACCTGTGTTGTATTTCCTTCTAAATTGGCATAATGATAGTGACCCTGCTGATAAGAATGGTAATTTGATTATCAATTAAAATGAAAACACATATACACACACACATTTTTTCACCCTTCTCTCAACCTACATGACCCTTGAAGAAAGCAACAAAGCCTTATAACAATTGAAATGTCATGCAAATGTGGCAGATTTTTATGGTGTTAATTTAATTGACAATGCAGGTGTTTTTTTGCAGTCATCAATCGGTGGTCTTGCAATATAATTAAATTAGAGGTGAAAATAAGGTCGGGTGAGGTGGTTCATGCCTGTAATCCCAGCACTTTGGGAGGCTGAGGCGGGCGGATTACCTGAGGTCAGGAGTTCAAAACCAGCCTGGCCAACAGGGTGAAACCCCATCTCTACAAATATACAAAAATTAGCCAGACATGGTGATGGGCACCTGTGATCTCAGCTACTCAGGAGGCTGAGGCAGGGAGAATTGCTTGAACCTGGGAGGTGGAGGTTGCCGTGAGCCAAGATCAGACCACTGCACCCAAACCTGTGCAACAAAGTGAGACTGTCTCAAAAAAGAAAATTTTAAAAATAAAAATAAATAAATAAATTAGAGGTGAAAATAATGCTTGATGTAGATAAAGTTCTAATTTTATCTTGGTTTGCCCATTTTGATGCTGTCCAAGTGAAATACACTTCAGCTGCAGTAATAGACCCTAGTAAGCCCAGAATATGGGCTAGACCTTTATACTTCTGCTCAGTGTCCTGAACTACTGTATCACCCCACCACTTCTGCCCTTATTTCTAATTGCTCTGTGTGGGAAAAGACAAGGCTCAGATTTTAACTATATCTATGCATGCTAGTTATCACTTGGGTTTTGTTTTATATGTTAATTGTATGCAAGCCTCTTCTGCTACAGTGTAAGTCCTTTGAGGGCAGATTTTTTTTTTTTAACTATTTATCTGTTTATGTGTATTTGACATAACAAATGCTTCTCTCCTCCACAGACATATAATGTCTTTTCATTGTAGAGCACTTAGGAAGTACATTAAAGTTTAAAGAAGATAAAAATCTCACTCCAAATCCTATCACCATGGGTAAACACTACTGACACTTTGGTATATTTCCTTTTATCTCTTTAGTTGCAAGTTCAGGATTTTACAATATATATGGTTTTTCTTATTGTGCTTTGCACTCTGTGGACTTTGTTAGAGGATTGCAGATTTTCTTTAATTCTGGAAAAATCTCAGCCGCTATCTGTTGGATATTTTCCTTCCATCATTATTTCTATTCTCTCCTTTTGAATATACGTGCATATGTATAGTCATACATCACTTCATGATGGGACACGTTCTGAGAAATGCATTATTAGGTGATTTAATTGTTTTGTCAGCATCATAGAGTATACTTACACAAACCTAGATGGTATAGTCTGTTACATATTTAAGCTATGTGCTATAGCCTATCCTAGGCTACAAACCTCTGTAGCATACTTTACTGTATGAATGCTACCCTAAATATTGTAAGCAACTGTAACACAATGGTAAGTATTCGTGTGTCTAAACATATCTAAGCATAGAAAAGGTACAGTGAAAACTTAGAATATAATCTTATGAGACCAGCATTGTGTATTTGTGGTCCATTGTTGACCTAAACCTTCTTATGCAACATATGACTGTAACACACACACACACACACACACACACACACACACAC